GGACAAATGTAAGTACAAGTGTATTTAAGTTAAAGATTTCTTTCTATGCTGGAAGTAGTTTGGCTGTAACGAAAGTAAAGAATGTGGGCAGGATATCAATGTAGATCCACAATATATAACCTAAAGTTACACGATATAATATGCTTTTGATTGAAAGGAAGGATAGTACATGTAGCTCTCTTAATTATATCGGTATCTTTGCTGTTGAATCCAGAATGTTGAGGAATTAAATGAAACCTATGATAACATCGTGGGTGACGTCCTTCTGTCGGCGAGTGTGGTTGCCTACCTGGGCCCATTTATTCTGGACTATCGCCAGGAATGTCTGAAGGAATGGTATGGAATGTGTGCAGAACGAAACATCCCACTGTCTGAACACTTCTCCCTGTACACGACTCTTGGGGACCCTGTCAAAATACGGGACTGGCAGATTGCAGGACTTCCTGTCGACAAGTAAGTAACTTTTGTGGACAGTGTCAAAATTGGACTAACTAATTGTTTGACTTCCTGTAGACAAGTAAGTAACTTTTGGGGACCATGTCAAAATACAAGACTGGCAAATTGCTGGACTTCCTGTTGACAAATAAGTATCTTTGGGGGACAGTTTCAAAATACAGGACTAGCAGCTTGCTAGGCTGCCTGTTGACAAATCGTCAATTTATATATTTGACATCCCTCTTGTGTTATTTTTTACAGCTACTCTGTAGAGAATGCCATCATTGTGATGAGTGCTAACCGGTGGCCGCTGATGATTGACCCTCAGGGTCAGGCCAATAAGTGGGTCAAGAACATGGAGAAGATGAACAAGCTGGAGGTGGTCAAGATGTCTGACGTCAACTTCAGCAGGAACCTGGAAAACTGTATACAGGTATGGGGAGAGTTTGATGGGGATGATAATTTTTATGGCTACATGTTGAACAGTTGAGTCAGAATTGATTTCAAGTGTAAAAGTAAAAAAAATTCTTAAATCTTATTTCAATGTTTTGCCCGTAGTTTGGTAATCCCTGTTTGTTGGAAAATGTGGGAGAGGAGTTGGACCCCATTCTGGAACCAATTCTGCTGAAACAGACATTTAAACAGGTTAGTCACTACACATTTTCTGCTGTATTTGAAGAATTTTATAATAGATCATCAATTCTGGTTAAAAATGTCTCATTTTAGTCTCAAGTCTTGGAATGATTCTAGATATAAAAATTCTGTATTGGATTTTTGAATTTTTCAGAATAACATGGAGTACATTCGTGTAGGAGATCATATCATAGAGTACAGTAAGGACTTTAAGCTGTACATCACCACCCGACTCAGAAACCCCCATTATCTCCCAGAGGTCTCCGTCAAGGTGTGTATGAACTGTTGAAATACTCAGATTAAGGTTTAAGACCCAGCCAAATTTTTAATGGCTTGTCTGAAGAAAAATATTTTGAGATTATAAATTTCCATGAAGGACACTAAAGTGTTTATTTCAAATTGAGCCAATTTGGATGATGGTTGATATATATTTTGTACTGTGAAACCCTGTTTAATCTGACATGCACCAGGAGACAAATTTTGCATTTGAATAGACAGGGCGTCAAATAACACAGTGCATAGAACATGGAAAATAGTGAACAAGGTCATAGTTCACAGTAAAACAAACTGCATAAGTGTCAGGTAGATTAGACAGAATTCATGGTTTATCTGATCTTGTTACAGGCGACCCTGCTGAACTTCATGATTACATTACTTGGTCTTGAGGACCAGTTGCTTGAACTGTTTTAGTTTATGTATATTTGGTATTCTAGAGGTGACCTTTCTGAATTTTACAATTACTTTGCTTTGTCTTGAATACTGTTTTATTTATATGTTTATTTGATATTCTTTAGGTGACCCTGCTGAATTTCATGATTACATTACTGGGTCTGGAGGACCAGTTGCTGGGAATAGTTGCTGCTAAGGAGAAGCCAGATCTGGAGGAGAGGAAGAACCTGCTGATTATAGAGAGTGCCAGGAACAAACGCCAGCTCAAGGAGATCGAAGACAAAATATTGGAGGTCCTGTCTTCATCACAGGTGAGATATTACATGAACTTCATCTCAGGCAAGATTGCTTCGTCATTTATGCATTCCTTATTTGCTTTTATATTTAGAATGGAAGAAAGCTTCTAAATCCTTTAGATTTTAATCCCTTGTTTATATTTAGATTTTAATCAAAACAGAATGTTTTCATTTTTTTAAAAGTTATTTTGTTTCGTTTATCATAATTTTTTGCAAATTAACTATGAACCAAAGGTGTATTAATATTTGTAAATCAGCCATCAATATTGCCTTCTCGTAAAATTCATCTTTCTTTTTGATAATACTTTTGCAGGGAAACATTTTGGAGGATGAGACAGCGATAGAGATTTTGTCGTCCAGTAAGATTTTGTCTGAGGAGATTTCAGAGAAACAGCTGGTGGCCAGCAAGACCGAGGCGGCCATTGATGACGTCAGAAACGGATATAAACCTGTAAGATTTATGTGTTTAATTAGGGGTCATTGTCATTTTAATCACTCATAAAAATGTTGCTCTAATTCTTATGATATGCCAAAAGAAATATATTTTATCATGCCAACAATTTCAGCATAGCTTGAGGGCCAAAATTGAAACTTGACAAATTTAATAGACATTTTCTTTTAAGAGTTAAGTCTCTTATCAGAGGGTCAATGAACCTTAATTTATCAGTACTAATAAATGTTAATTTCAGTTACGCACCGCAAGTACTTTATATATTTATAATTACAGATTATATTTATGATATGATTCTCATGATGTGTTATGCCCATTGTTTTATCAGGTGGCTAAGCATGGCAGTGTGCTGTTCTTCGTGATCTCGGACCTGGCCAACATTGACCCCATGTACCAGTATTCTCTCACCTGGTTCATCAACCTTTATCTACAGGTAAGGTCTCACCTGTGAAACAGGAGTTAGCCTTTGACCTTCTTTTATATTACCTTTACCTATGTGAGAACGAGAATTCTTACAACTACAATAGCATTGGAAAATTTTTGTTGTAATTACAAGAAGTTGAATTTTAGTATCTCGAACATTGAATGACCTTGCATGGATGTATCAGTATGAGAGAAGTTCTAAATTCCAACTACTTTTCCTTAATTGATTTAAGCCTATCACAAATCCTTACAATTTTTGGGAAGGGGGGGAGGGTTGCATAATTTTATTTCATTCATGATTTCTTTCAACAGTCCATCATAAACAGTGCCCCCTCACAAGATTTAGAGGAGAGGATCCACAACTTGAATGAACACTTTACCTACAGCATTTACAAGAATGTCTGCCGCTCGTTGTTTGAGAAGGACAAGTTACTCTTCTCCTTCCTGCTGTGTATCGGCATTGCAAAACAAAAGTATGTAGCAAACATCAAAAATGGGTTGGGGGAGATTACAGTATGTTACTATGCTTTGTGTATCTTAGGGCTCTCTTGATTATTTGTCAAGACATGGTCCAAGAAACAGCATTGGGAATCTATTTTGCTGTGGTCTTAATATGTTTAAGCTGGTTGCCTTGATGTAAACTTCACTTGATTTGAATTAAGTGGGCATGCATTGTAATTTGTTCAGATGTTAAGAATTTGAATTTGCTGTTATTTGTCCCATGTATATTTATATCACTTTCAAAAGCTATAAGAAAAATTAAGGAGGGAAGAGGGGTTACAAACATTTGTTTATTTATCTTAATTTGTAACTAGAACAAAATATTAACTAAAAAATAGCTTTTAAACTGGCTCATACACATAGCAAAAATTATGTTTCAGTAGGTTTAGGTTTACCGATTTTATTAAGAGCTTGTTTTTTTTTTTTCAATCGATTATAACATAATACCTTTTTATTAGCACCATGCCAAATGCCAGAGTGGGGTAAGTGTTTGGAGTCAAGGCAGTGTCATTGCTTGCACCTTTTTGTGATTGTTTGATTGAATTTTGAAGTAATGAATTAATTGTGAGACAAGTAAATAGTGTGTCATTTTTCCATTCTTGATAGAAATTGCAAGCTATTTGACAATCATTCATCTTTTACTTGGAACTTATTCATTCAGAAGTAATAGACAATTTGCAGAAGTAAATAAAACAGTTTTCAGTATACATTTTTTTTATAACTCTCTCAATATATTTAAGGAGGGGAAAAAATTTTCAAAGATGAAGATAAATTTATACTAGTGGTAAACTGTATTTAAAATCAAGTTATTTACATTTTGATTAATTGTTTTGAATATATTAGCTTTAAATATACTTTTTTAAATGCATGGACAGTCAAATAGTCAGAAACCCCCCATCTTAATCAAGAAAGACCTCTCTTTCACCTTGATGACAGTTTACATTTATTTCATGATGTTTCCTCTTTATATTTTTGTAAGCTTTTAATTATTCCTCCCTTGTGTTGTTTGAAGTGCCTATACAGTATGTTTTGTGATTTACTTACAATTCTGTTTCAGGAAGACCGTGGTCCTTCTCATAAGATTCAAGCACAATTTTTTTCTTCCAAGAAATGCACTCTGTTTCCGGATTAATTTTTTGTAAATAAGTTGCTTCAGAACTTTCCCATTTACCATCACATAGATTTTAGGTCACCATGTTTTCTGATACTTTTAAATTTTGATTATACTGTCAGATGACACTGTTCTTGCATCATTGCAGTGGTGAAATCAACGACCGTGATTGGCGGTTCCTCCTTACCGGAGGCCTGGCTCTGGAGAACCCCTTCCCTAACCCCGCGGTGGATTGGCTCCCTGACAAATCCTGGGGGGAGATAGTCAGGGCATCAGATCTACCCTCCTTCAAAGGATTTATGGACCACTTCCGTAAAAATGTATGTTTTTGTTCCTTGCATTTTGAGCACACTTTATAAATTCATTTATTTTTTATCTTCATTTATTGATTTCTTTTAAAAAAAAAAAAATCTTGACGTATACCCTATAATTTTATTTTCCCCATTGTTTAGCTGAATGCCTGGAAGAAGATCTATGATTCTACAACTCCCCATACAGAACCCCTAGTGGCCCCTTGGAACGAGAACCTGAACAGGTTGGAGGAACTGATAGTGCTCAGATGTCTACGACCTGATAAGGTAGGGAGGGCTGATTTATAACTACTTTAAGGCTATTCAGAGTGTAGAAAATTTAATGGTTAATCAATGAAAATGTGGTAATTCATTTATGGGAATGAAGGAATTTAATGGAATCCATATATTATTTTCCAATATCTTCTTGGAAATTTGATGATTTTTTCAAAGGTCTTATGATTAGTAAATTGAAAATGAAAATTACTAATGTATAAAGCCATTTTTAACCTGATTTTGGATGGTCCCTGGCATATGAATTTGGCAATTTTGCCTTTTCTTAGATGATCCCTGACATATAAATTTTGCCTTTATTTAGATGGTACCTGCTGTTCAGAATTTCATTGTGGAGAGAATGAGTCAGCAGTACATTGAGCCACCGACCTTTGACCTCTCGCTGAGTTATGAAGATTCCCAGCATTTCTCACCCCTGATTTTTGTTCTGTCCCCTGGGGCCGATCCGATGGCTGGTCTCTACAGATTTGCTGAGGAAAAAGGTAGGTCACCCTCACCCCAATCCATCTTTTATTTTGCCCTTTGCCGCATTTTGAAATAATATGTTATTTGCAAAAATCTATTTATATATACGTATAAGAGCAATTCAAAATATTTTATTACTTGTTTTTGATATGGTATCTACCCAATCCAAAGTGTTTCTTTTATTTTTATATTTTTTTAACATGTATAAATATATAGTCAATATGCTTGAAAATGAAACAGATACAAATGAATAAAATACCTCTGGCTTTTTAGGTATATTAGGCCATTGTGTGTGTTTGTAATGTAGATGTTAGGAGAGTGCTTCCTATAGTGTAATTGCCAATGATAAACAAATAGTTAGGTGTTTGAAAAATAATGCATATGAAATAGATATTCAACCTTAGTACAAATGTGGTGTTTGCATACATGTGACAGAACTGAACAATCACAACTGGAGATTTGAAATTTTTCAGCTGGAGTTTGGGTCTCAAAGCTGGAGATTTTTTATCGACATTTTTTAAATCGCGAAAGACCATCCAACTCCCTAGAAAATGCAGTCTCCCTCTTTATTACTTAAAATTGTTTTTATTTCATAAAGGTTTGCTTTAAAATAATACGTTTAAATTTTTAGTCAAATGATCAGAAGTGAAATTAAATCAAAATTAAATTAATTCATTGAAATTAATTAAGAGGTAAATCATCATTAAAACATTGAATAAAATTTTATTTTTTATTTGGTATTGATATATCAACCAGTAAGTGAAGTAAAACATTCATAGATCTTATATTTTATGTCATTAATTTGCTTTTAAATAGAATATGAAAAGATAAAATTAATTTAACTTCTCTAAAAATACATTAATTTAAGTAAAGTGAGGTATATATTTTTTTGCAGTAAGTGAAGTAAAACATAGGTTTTATGTAACATATTGTATGTCAGTAATTTTTTTAAATAGAATATTAAAGAGATTTAAAAAAAATCATTTCTCTAAAAATACAACAAAGTGAAAGTACATGTAGAGTCAGGTATATTTTTTAGCAACACCCTGTAGTTTGATTTTTTTAACTTAAGTCAAAAGTATATGTATCTGTTAATGACCACTGCACCATTAGAAGATGGCAATTGGGTATTTTAGCAACTAATTACGATGTTCTGTATTCAGCAATTCAGCAATAAAACATCGATGGACATTTATCAAGTTGATTAGCACTAATTTTTACAATCGAATTATACGACCTCATGTTGATTACTACGAAACCTACCGCTGTGTGTTTTGTTATCTCAATGTATTGTCATTCTAAGCAATTATAAGAAACATGATAAAAAGTTATGCAAAATATATTTAATTTGAAGAATTATTTTAAACACGGAAGATTTAAAAATAAATCAGGGGCGGAAGGGGGTTTAAAAATCGGGAGATTTTGCCTCCCGCCGGAAGAATCACATGTATGTGTTTGAAAAATAATGCATATAAAATAGATATTCAACCTTAGTACAAATGTTTATTTACATCCAATGCCATATAACTTTTGATTAATACAGTGTACAGTCATCATCATTGTGTATTAAATTCAGCACCATACACTTTAACCTGTGTCCATTTATCATGTTTTTTTGCAGTGTGTATACAAACTTTTTTTTCAAGGTTTTCAAATTTTTGGTTATTTTAAAAAATAAGTTCAATTGTCATAGTATTATCAAAATCATATCCAAATCATTCTGGATTTCACTTATTCTGAAGTTTTCCAAATTTGCTTTAATTTCTTCCTGATTGATTTTTAGTTGGTGGTGAGTAGCCATTGTGTTGTTATTTTAGAGCAGAGAGTCACACTGCTTACAGAAATCATGTATCATATAAAGTAGAGGGGGTTGGAATATGCTACATACATAGAATAGAACAGTGTCTTAGTTATTTATGTCTGTTACGTGAAAGTTACTCTGTCATTGAGTATCATGTCTTGTTCCTGTGATTAGGTGTAATTCAGTCTGTTTCTCTGAAGAAAATTTTTAGAGAAGGTCAGTATTAAATAAGCTGATTGGTTGTTTGAATGTCACATGATTGCTGAAGAAGTAATGTGATTGGTTGTGCAGGTTGGCTGAAATCACATGATTGCAGCTTGAAATCTGATTGGACTTTGAATATTGCCCCGCCTTGAGCATAAGGAAATTTATCAATTTGACTGTTATTTCAAAATCCTTGTTGCTTTGAAGATGATTGCATGTACTGCACCAAAGTCATACATGTACAATAACTTTTATTTTTATGTAAACTTGAAATGTCTGAAATTACAGTATGCATGGAAATGGATGTCCTTTTCATATATTTGTGTGCTGGTGTGAATTAGACATTTTTGAAAAGAAGACCTTTGCAGAATTTTTTCCTGATTTCTTCAAGGGTTACTAAATTTATGGTGGTTATGTAAGAAGTTTATTGAATTATGTGCTGTTAGATCACTTGGTAAATGAGTGTGCTATGTTTTTCATAGTCTGGTATTTGGGGCATGGTAAAAAGCATATAGTTCACTAGTTGCACAGCTAGACTTAAGATTGCTTAGGTCAATGCATATACATGTATATAGTTGTTGAATGATACGATTTTGTTTACAAGAAATTTGGCCACTTCCAACTGTTTATTACAAGTTTTAAAAATTATGTTGTTGGAATCTACATTTTCATTGTAAATGTATGTATGCAATATTATTATACAATCATTTCCTGAATTTTTTTCCCTTTAGGAAGATCAAGAGATGGTATCTCCATTGTTAACAAAAGTTTTTGTTGACCTTTCACATTTTGACCTTTCATGATTTGTTTATTCCATATGACCTCTAACAGGTGTTATACCACCACTACCACCACCACAGTCACAGATGACCGCACATGACCCGTCCGAGCCTAAAATAACCTCGTTACTCGGGGTGTCTCATCCCTCCGAGGAACATGCGCGTATGTGGTTACCATTACTAACCTGTCTCTCATGCACATCGCCACCTTTTTAACCTTCTGGTAGGGTCAAGGTCGGGTCAATTTTCTACATAAGGTGACATGTGAATATTAATTTTTTTTTTTTTTTTAAAAGAATATTTTCTATCTAATTTGATGCAAATTACATTGCAAATTATTAAAGCAAAACAATAATAAAGTTTTCAATCACTGATGTTGAAAAGGAAAATATTTAATTAAAGTTTTTTTCATAATCTTTGAGAAAATTAATACAAATACAGTAAAGCTTTTAACTTTAACTAAATGTTTGTTTCTTATTAATTACCAGTTAAACAAGACAAAATCTTTAAAAAATTTTTTAAAAAATGCAAAAATTAAGATCCACTGTACATATTAGGATAAAATAAGAACATTTGGAGACCTTGACACTATTAGAACATGAAGGTGGTTCCCCTGATTACCTCCCTTTGTCACGACCTAGCTGAAGTAGCGACACACCCCCTACACAGCCCTCTAACTTCCAGCTGGATGTATTGCTTCATGCTGTTTTTTTTTTTTTTTGTTCCTTTATAGGTTTTGATAATTTCAGTATTTATTTTGTGTACTGTCTGGTGAAGCCACTGCTCAGTTACCCTTATGAGCATGGTTGACTAAGATCTTTTTTGTCTTCTTCTTTTTTCTCCCTCTGTTCTGTTTTTTTTTTGGGGGGGGGGGTAATTTATTACTTGTATTTATCGTCAGGGATATTGTAACTTATGTGAATTTGTCTTTCATCAAGGTCATAAAATAATTTTTTTTCCAATTAGAAATTCAGATTCGATTTAGATTTTGTGTGTTTAGATGATGTGGAAGATTATAATCACATAAATTAAGTTAAGATAATTAATCAAATATTGCAGTAATTCATATATGATAGGGAAGCTGCATTTGAGATCAGATATGTGTGACTTTTTTTAACCTGTTGTTATTTATAAAAAGAACAAGGTCTGATCATACAACACATGTAGTATTTACACCATTTTACTTCTTTTCTGTGTTTCACTGGATAAAACTTTTATTACGGTATCTTTAATTTTGTTGGACAAAATCTTTTGCTATTATTTATTTCATTGGTCAAAACTTCTTTTTATCACTTGAACCAGCATTAGCATTCTAGCTGTTTTAATTAAACAGTAATGAAACTTAGCATTATAATTTCATGCAAAATGTAGATATATGAATAATTGTATTCTTCTAGATCAATGTAGAATTTTATTACATGAAGTAGAATTTGATACACATGTACTCTGTTACCAACTTTGTGTTTTTCTTTACCATCCTAGATTCCCATACCCCATTAACATGAATTTATATTCATGTAGACATTATATTTTTCAGTAGCTGTGATATACAGAGAGATGTTATATGTGTCTCACTTTCGCATGCTCTCTGTTTCAGATATGTTTTATGTATATAATAACTTGCATGATAAGAATTGTAGCAACTGTTATTTATGAATTATTTTTGTATTTTAGCCTTGCATGATTTTTTTCTGCATGAATTTTTGTAACCCCCAAATTATTGCTTAGTTTCATTCTATTGTAGCTTATTTATATTTCTCTTCAGCATTTTTTTTTTATTTTATTTCTTTTTATTTTAAAACATAACAGTTTTCAAATAAGAGAGATTATATTCTTTTTACACAAAAGTTGTATGAACAAAACTTGTGAAAATCAAATTAGATTTGCCAAGTTTATTTCTTGAAAATTTTATTTTATATGTACATTTTTCTGTAAATGAAGAGAGATTATATTCTTTTTACACCAAAAGTTGTAGATTAGTACAAAACTTGTGAAAATCAAATTAAAAAAAGATTTGCCAAGTTTATTTCTTGACTGCATAAGATTTTATCAATTAATCAAGCGATGTCAAATTCAATCACAAATTGAACCATATTTCAAAACTAATTAGTGCACATGTTTGTGTTGTCAAATATTTTCAAGCATGAGTCTTTTTTTTTACCTTGACTTCAACCTTGAGTATCATTTTCAGGTTCAGGGAGCAAAGGTCTACAGACCATATCTCTCGGTCAAGGTCAAGGACCCATTGCAGAAAAAATGATCATGGAGGTAAGAGTGAAATTTTAAAGGGGAGGATCTAATAACTGTCATATTTAGGAGTTAAGACCTTTTTAAAGAGATCTGAAGAATGTCAGAATCAAATTTTGTTTTAAAAAATTTGGGGGATGAGGGTCAATTTCACATATGCTCGGACTTCATTTGGTAACCCCCTGGCAAAACCAGAAGGGATATCAATTAGAAGTGGTTGGATTGGTATTCAATTTCAAGCATTTAAAAGATGAGAAGCTCTGTATCTGTGTTAACTTTTTCTCTGTAATTTCAGGCGGTGGCCAATGGGACCTGGGTGGTGCTACAGAACTGTCACTTGGCGGCGTCATGGCTGGGAGAACTGGAACGAATCTGTGAAACTGTATGTCACTTTGTTTTTAAAATGAGTTCAAAGTTATGAAAAAATATTGAAAATGTATTAGAAAGTTCAATTTTTATTATTTTGTACTGTACGTATGTTTTACAATTATTATTCGAACATTTTTAATTTACATTTGTCAGATTGAAATGAGATTTTGAGATTGAAATCATTCTGAAATATATTGCTTTTTGGGACTGAGAAAACCCTATAGAACTAGGCAACAGAATATATTATTCTCAGTAAGAAATATTTACGAGTAATGAAAAGTTGCAAAACCTGAGAATATTTCTCACACATGAATTAAATTTGATTTACATATAAGGATTTATTGCCAAATTTTTTTTAGCACTGAAGAAAGTGTTAATGTTAATGTTGTGATTTTTCTGACCTTTGTATTCAAATTTTTTTTTTTAGGTGATCACAGACACCAATGTTACCATGCCTACGTTCCGCCTGTGGCTGACAAGTTATCCCTCCCCTGCGTTCCCTGTCTCGGTCCTCCAGAACGGGGTCAAGATGACCAACGAGCCCCCCAAAGGACTGAGGGCCAATCTACTACGGTCCTATCTCAATGACCCTATCTCAGACCCCGCCTTCTTCTCCCAGTGCAATAAACCAGCAGTATGTATACTGTAGCATTGTCTTTCCCTTAATTGATGGATTGAATACAAATATTTTAAAATATATAATTATGTGCAGTTTTCAAAAATTGATCAAAACAGTAATGATTTAATCAAATTTTATTCCCATGCAGCAACTGCTTATTAAATCAAATGTTATACTATACAGTGTTTAATTATGCTGTTTTGCTCCTTACAACTATCTGCCAGTTATATTTATAATGGATATGATAATATCTTCAGCCTCTTAAATCAGAAAGAGGATAATTTGCAGTTGGATAGTCTACAAGAGGATAATCTGACCACCTCTTTATCTTTTCTGCCTTAATTGACAGGTTTTTGAGAAGCTGCTCTTTGGACTCTGCTTCTTCCATGCCTTGGTGCAGGAACGGAGGAAATTCGGACCTTTGGGTTGGAACATTCCTTACGAATTCAACGAATCTGATCTCAGGATCTCCGTTAGACAGCTTCAGGTGATGGTTATTTATAAGATATAATGTAGTCAAAGTATGAGACCATGGAACTGTAGACATTTAAAAATTTGTAGAACCTATTTGTGAAGATGCTAATAAGGAAAAAAAATACAATGCAATCTTGACAAAGAGAACTATATGGGTAATGATCAAAATGGATTAAATTTAAGATCAATGCTCAACATCAATCTTCTAGTAATGGCCACCTTGTTTTTACTTGCAGATGTTCATCAATGACTATGACAAACCCCCCTTGGAGGCCCTCAGCTACCTGACAGGTCAGTGTAACTATGGTGGGCGTGTCACGGACGACCTTGACCGGCGACTCATCACCAGCTTACTGGAGATCTTCTACAACGAAAAAATTATTTTTGACGACACGTACAAATTCTCCCCCAGTGGTCTCTACTATGCCCCTCCCAAGGGGATGTATGACCAGTATGTGGACTACATCAGGAAACTGCCCCTGATACCTCACCCCGAGGTAAGGGAGGGTGTCTTGAGATTTATTATAAAAATTATTTTTTTAGCATTTGAAAACAGTTTTGGCAGGTAGAGGTTTGTGAAATGGTGTTCATATTGTTGACAATGATTTCCTTCAGTTGGTTGATCAATAGTAGTAGGATGAAGAATGAATTTTTTGAAACCTTAGTATTTTTTTGTTAGATCTACTTGAGGTTTAGCGCATATTTCATAATTTCTTTGATTCAGGATAGTAGAAAATTTTTATGCTTCTCTATTTTAAGGTGTTTGGTCTACATGAGAATGCTGATATATCTAAGGACCAGCAGGAAACACAGCAGCTGTTTGATGGAATTCTTCTGACATTACCAAGACAGGTCAGTATTACTACCAGAGTCTGATTGTAGGTCAGGGTCTGAAAAAATGATTTATTTAATTATAATTTTGGCTGTATAAATATTTCAAATTAAAATTTAGATGTAAATGTATAAATGTATAGTGTGTGTGATCGCTAGGTATAGACATCGTCAATTAGGGAAGATTTTATAGAAAATAGATGAATATAGGCAGATTTTAAAAGTTGTGCTCGTAGATTTGATACTAAATTGCTTCACCAGTCCACATGATAGTTTTGTATATAATTATTATTTATTCTAAAACCCATTTCAAACTATATCACATTTTAATTAGTGCATACGATATCAAAAGGGGTGCCACATGATAGTTTTGTATATAATTATTATTTATTCTAAAACCCATTTCAAACTATATCACATTTTAATTAGTGCATACGATATCAAAAGGGGTGGGGGGGGGGGGGGGCTTAGATAGCAGGAAAATGACTACGGATGGTGATGACAGGAAGATTTCAACATCTGGTATGAATATTTCCATCCCAGAAAAAAAGGTTTCTATGATGAAAGAATAACTGCATTTGAATATGAAAAATCATAAAAAGAACTGTTCGAAAAATATTCCCTGAAATCCAAGAATCTCATTTTCTATTCCAGAGAGACTTGCCAATGAATGAAGTAGTTTACTTTTCTTCATTTTGCATGATTTTTTTTTTCCTATTCCATTGAAAAAATCAAATTAGAAGACATATTATGCATGATGTAGAACAAACAAAGCACCCATTATATGAAGTTAGTGATAAGTAGTGATGTAGATATGAAATGATTTGATGACATATATATATATATACATGTACTATTTTCTTCTCCTCTCCTGGGATTTGGTGAATTGCATGTCAATACAGGATCAGGTGATTTGATTTTTATGGTTTGGTTTGATTTGTTTGGATTTTTTTTTCATTCTTCAGGATTTGCACTACCTTATTGATTTGTACTTATTTCAAGATTTATTTTTAGCTCATCTGGGCTTGAAGTTCAAGTGAGCTCTTCTTGTCAAAGTTTGTCTGGTTTACATGATATATGAATAGGTGTATATACATGTATCCTGTCTGTATGAATCTTAGAAAGCTATCATTTATTTAATTTTTTTTGGGGGGGTGATGAAGTACTCTGACTCATATTATTCAAGGTAGTTGTATTTGTCCCTTGCTTTTAAAATCATCACAACTTTTGAAGAAAAAAGTTGGGACTTTCATTTTTCATATGTGCAAAATTTACTTTGATTTATGACCACATGACCACGATGTTTGATCTTTAAATATTTTAACATTAGGGATACTAAACAAGATAAAAATAAAGGGGTTCCTATTTTACAGTTGGATTAATCTGCGATAAGTTTTCCAAATAATTTGACTTCTTGTCAGACCTTGAAATTTCACATCCAGTAGTGATCAATACCTACCTTTCAAACATTTAATAATGTTCAAAACTTATATAATTGAGAGTGTCAAAATTCAATTAAAAAAAAAATATTCAGCATGTCATGAACTTGATTCATTTCAAGCTAGCTCTCCAACATGTCGGACGTTCTTAGTCAATTTGATTTTGACTTTGAACTGAGTTTGAAGATTTTGACGATTTATCTTAATTTGAGCCAGGCACTCGACAAATATGAAATCACAGAAACAAACATCAAGGAGTTTAACGATCTAAAATTTGGACGTATAACTTAATTTCAAAATGGATTAATCTTTTGACGACTGGGAACTTTCAACTGGGTTAAATACATGTAATCATATATTTTAATTTAGTTAAAGGCTAAAAAATAGCTAAACATGTTCATTTTTCTGTAGTTATGAACTTGTGAAATAAAATCATTTTTTTTCTCAACCTTTTCTGCCTCCTGCTTTGATATATGATATATTATCGCATATATGATATGGGATATATCACTACAGAAAGATCAAAGAAAATCACCGAAATGTTACAATAATGAGAGGTCACATATCTTTTGTACATTACCTATAACATAACCCTTCAAAATATTTTTTTGACTTTGAAATGTTACATACTTTTCAAAGATTTTCGTAAAAGTGATAATTTTTCAATTAGAGAAGATAGGGTGTTGATATTTGACATGTGCAATACTTGTGACAAAACTTTTCTATATTTTCTACGGTTTTAGACCCATGACATTGACCCTAAAGTTTAGCCATAATTGTTTTAACTAGAATTTTAAAGGTTTTTATTTTCAAATTTTTCTAATACAGAAAAGCAAGGCTTTTCAAATGGTTAAACTAGTGTACATGCATCCATGTGTTATGTTTAACTAAAGTTGGTGTAAGACATTGTCAAGAAAAATGTTTCTCAGGTGAGCATATGGCCCATGGGCCTCTGAATTCAAATATTTTGATCAAAATTCTATTTTTTGTGCTTGATGGGGTTGCTTGTGTAATTTGAATTAAGGTTGTTGTGAAAAGAGTGTGGAACAGATAAAAACTTGTACTAAAATCATATCTCTCTCTAATTGTATGTTTCCATCCCCCCTTAATTCATACAAAAGTCAGTAAAAAGGAATAGATCTGTCATCTTTTTTTTTAAGATCTAATTTTTTTTTAAAAAAAAATATAATTCTATTGAACATAAAGAAGAAAAAAAATTAAAACTCACGAACATTTAAAACTCAAGAACACAATGTAGGGACATGTAAAAAAAAAATCTAAATTTTTAGTGATTTTTAGTGAAAATTATATTTATTTGGATCAATTTATTTTTAACATATATGCATCCACAACGCCTGATTGCACTGCATATACTCAGATGGAACTGCTTAAAATGGGAAGATTTTTTTTTTGTTTGATAAATCAAATGCAAAGGAAACAAAATAACAACTTTACTAATACATATATATTCCAGCACAACTTGCAAATTGCTCAAAATGTGTGAAATTTAATACTAACCTGCAGATACATGCTGTCCTTGTGTTACACTAAAAATCTTAATAGTGAATGTATAAGAAGAAAGACAATGAATTCTATCAACTTAGATTGATTTAGTAGACATTTTGACTAATTTACCATACAGTTTAATACAATTACATGTAATACAAACTAAAAAACAAAAAAAAACAAAATTAATATGATACACTATAGTACTCAAGGTAATTTTTAGTGAGAGTTGAATTTTATTTAGAATCTATTTTTAATAATTATCTCCCCTTTCTGTACTCTTCAGACAAGTGGAGGAGGGAAATCCTCACAGGAGATGATTGAAGAGCTCGCCAGTGATATTCTGACCAAGATCCCAGCGGACTTCAACCTGGAGGAGTGTCAGGTAGGAAGGAATAGATTGACTCAGGATTTCATATTCAATTTGTCAAATAGTCTTATTGTAGCTACAACTAATTTTAATATTGTCAAATTGAATAAAGGCAAAATCAAGACTCATGCTCTTTTTTGTTTCTTCTTTTTTTTGCCAATAGCAGGAGATATTTCTCCATCCATTTTTCCATCTACAGTCAAACTGTTACGCTTTGTGTCTAAAAGAGGGGAAAAAAACACTAATTTACATTTTAAAAAAATCATAGCATAAATCCCTAGGGCTTAAAAAGACCCTTACTGAATTTTAGGCCAAAAGGTCAAGGTCACAAATTCATTTTTGAGTAAAAGAGTTCAAGGTCACGAAGTCATACATTTTAAAGTTACAGACTTTTGTTAAAGATGTCCTGGTTAATATCTCTAATTATTGTTGAGTATATTGTATTGTCATCCTTTTATAAATTACAGAACAAGTTCCCAGTGAGATATGAAGAGTCTATGAACACAGTACTGAACCAGGAGTTGATCCGGTTTAACCGGTTGACCCAGGTGGTTCGTCAGAGCCTACAGGACATTAGGAAGGCCATCAAAGGAGTGGTCCTGATGTCGTCCGAACTGGAGGATGTGTTTGACAGCATGATGGTGGGGAAGGTAAGGGGAGAAATGTAACAGCATGATGGTGGGAAAGGTAAGGGGGGAGTGTGACAGCATGATGGTGGGGAAGGTAAGGGGGAATATGACAGCATGATGATGGGGAAGGAAAGGGGGGAATGTGACAGCATGATGGTGGGGAAGGTAAGGGGGGAGTGTGACAACATGATGGTGGGGAAGGTAAGTGGGGAATATGACAGCATGATGATGGGGAAGGTAAGGGGGGAATGTGACAGCATGATGGTGGGGAAGGTAAGGGGGGGGGATGTGACAGCATGATGAGTGGGAAGGTAAGGGGGAAATGTGACAGCATGATGGTGGGGAAGGTAAGGGGGTGATGTGACAGCCTGATGGTGGGGAAGGTAAGGGGGTGATGTGACAGCATGATGGTGGGGAAGGTAAGGGGGTGATGTGACAGCATGATGGTGGGGAAGGTAAGGGGGGTGTGACAGCATGATGGTTGGAAGGTAAGGGGGGAATTTAAAAGCATGTTTGTGGGGAATGTAAGGGGGAAGTGTGACAGCATGATGGTGGGAAGGTAAGGGGGAAATGTGACAGCATGATGGTGGGGAAGGTAAGGGGGGAGTGTGACAGCATGTTGGTGGGGAAGGTAAGGGGGAAATGTAACAGCATGATGGTGGGGAAGGTAAGGGGGGAGTGTGACAGCATGATGGTGGGGAAGGTAAGGGGGAAATGTGACAGCATAATGATGGGGAAGGTAAGGGGGGAATGTGACAGCATGATTGTGAGGAAGGTAAGGGGGGAATGAGACAGCATGATGGTGAGGAAGGTAAGGGGGGAGTGTGACAGCATGATGGTGGGGAAGGTAAGGGGGTGATGTGACAGCATGATGGTGGGGAAGGTAAGAGGGGAATGGGGGAAGGTAAGAGGGGGGAATATGACAGCATGATGATGGGGAAGGTAAGGGGGGATGGAGAAGGGGGCTGTTAACAAAGAAGTTTACAGGTATAGTTGATTAGATCACATAAGAAAGTAATATGGAAAGGTGGCCTTGAAAAAAAGAAATTTACAGGGAATACTGATTAGGCAAATAAAGGTATTAACATGGTAGCTAAAACTCGAAATGTTTAGATACACGTATGGCCTTTCACAAATCCTTTAGAAAGAAGAAAATTTGAAAATGAAAGTCGATTGTTTTAGCACATACTAAAATCTGTTTGATTCTAAGGATAACCATACATGTTAACTCTCCCGATTTAGGCGGGAGTCTATCGCTTTTTCACTCCATCTCCCGCCTACCGATTTAATTCATAAATCTACCGCTTTTCTACAAAAGCTGCGTCTAAAGTATTTTTGGTTCGCTTGGGTATCCATTTTTTAAGCCACTCATAAAATCTTGCTAGATATCGCGTGATTTGACTCGGAATCATACAAACGCTTTTTTTGTACATAGATTTCAAGCACGGATTTGACAACGATAACAACACAAGACTACCAGTGATTACATTGGTTACGATAAATTAATCAACATCCCTGCCATGAAAAAGGAGATACAGCTTTTAAGAATTAGATGAAAACATTTGACATCGTCTTTAAAAGCACAGAAGCTCATAACTTTATCAATAAAGTCAGTAGAACTCACTCAATTGACCAAGCCATGTGGCACATCTCTACTTTCGTTTTCGATCATCGCGGGAAATCTGATTTATATAACGAAAGACAGGAACTTGTTTTAGATCTAGATTAAACCATGTCATCATTTGTTTTGTTTAAAAACTGAATGAACATTCAGAATTATTGCTTCTAGGCTATATCAGCAAAGATCACTCTTCAAAAGGCTTTAAAACTCTCTCTGTAAAGCAGCCAATCCAAGCAAAATGATGAGCATGAAAAATATTTGAATTTGTACAATTTATGTCAAACTTAAGGTGTTTCTGTCTTCTTCTTTGCTATATTTAAGATTAATTAGTGTAGGTACCTGACTTCATTTAAGGCTTATAATATACATGTATATTACATGAAAGATATCGATAATCCAAGCGTTAAACAACACGCGCGCAATGCTACCGCTTTTGAGGTCTGAATCTCCCTATTTTTCATCACAATAGGTTAACATGTATGGGATAACCAAATGGATAATTTTTAAATTTTATTTGAACTGAATGATTCCAATGATTTTTCACTGGACAGGTTCCTGCGATGTGGCAAGCCAAGTCCTACCCCTCCCTCAAACCTCTGGGGAGTTACATCACAGACTTACTGGCCAGGCTAGCGTTCTTCAAGGTACTTTGAACCCCCAAAGATTTAAAATGATAATGCATTCTTTTTTTCTGGTGTTTGCTTATTTGTTCTTTAATTTTTATATGTCCATTATATTTGAAATGGTCTCTTCTTTATTTGCATGGGAATGAATGTGAATATAATTTCCTGTTTGGAAGATGAACAAATGACAATGGCTAAAATTTTATGATTAAAATATTTATTGATTTGAAAGTGTACCTAATATCATGATAGTTCTTTATTTCTCTAACACTTCATTAGGTATTCATTTAAAATAGAAAAGTAAATCTAGACAATTTGGGTACCTCTTTTATAATTGTAAATATTCAATATTTTGGGGTTTTTTTTTTATTCTGCATTGTGGACCAAATTTTTCCAACACTGAATGTTGACCCCTATAACATAAAAATATCTAACTTGCTTTTTCAGGAGTGGATCTATGGGGGTACTCCATCAGTCTTCTGGATCTCGGGTTTCTATTTCACTCAGTCCTTTTTGACTGGTGTGATGCAGAACTATGCCAGGAAATACAAAATCCCCATTGACTACCTCGGATTTGAATATCAAGTAACGG